GAGGAAATCCTTAGGCCTAAAGGAATCTCAATTCCATTATTGAGGGCCATTGTACTTTTGAAGACTTTTGGAAGTTTTCTACCTCTATTATCCACTTCTTTATTGTGGTCACTCACTGGTTAGCCTTCATCATGATACAGATATGGTTTCTTTTAATATACAAACAAGATGGAAGGAATCTGATCTACTAAAACCTGTATTCAACTTCATTATAATACTATTTTATAAATGCCACATAAGTGAAATAGACCCTTCATATTTCTTCTTTGTTCGCAATCTTCATTTTATACCTACCACAAAGAAAATGTTCCCTTTAAGCAATTAATTTTAAGTTGCCTTGAGGTGTCTACCACCAAATGAACATTAGATTCCAATTCCAAAATAAAAGGCTGCCCCACAATTATGTAATGACTGAAATATGATTTTGAAAGCATCAGATATCTTAAGTTCAATATTATCAGATAATTGGGTTTAGACATGGAGATGAGGCGCTGCACTGCTATATTGCCTATTGCATTTTCTGGCTTCTCCTATTGATTTGAACCAAGAAAATCAACCTATTAAGTTCAGAGTACGGATTCACCTAGACAAGTAAATTTGACGGGGCGGGGCGGGGCGGTCCTTTTTTTGACTCAGTCCAGACCATGCTGTTGGTCAGCCCGTAAGAGAGATGGGTTGTGTTGAGCCTCTTCATTGAGAGTCCCACTGACTGCTTTTCATTTTAGTTTTATGTTTTGTTCTTTGAAAAACAGTAAGATCGGGTGGCATGGTCCAGGCTCGATTGGCTGGTGCTGGACTTCGCATTTTTTGAATGTGTCAGACATAGACAGTCCAACCCGACCAGTTTTACACCTCAAGATCCACATGTAGACAATTGTAAGTGGGTTGGAAAGGACATGGCCTGGACGTCTTACAAAGATATCTTTTTCTCTTTTCCTATAGAAGGATCTTTTTGAGTTTAGTTTTTACTCTTTTTCTTTGGTGGGGTGGAGAGAAAATTCTTAATTAATCCTCTGATTCTCCCACAAATCTTTGCTAGGCATCAAGTGTATTGGTGGCGAAGAGGAAGCTTTCAGAGGACTTAAGTTAATTTATACTCTTAGGGTGTGTTTGATCTACGTTATTTTGAAAAAATGTATTCTGAAATAATAGATTGATGGAGAATTTATGGTTGAAAAAGAAGGAAAAATTATTGATGTAATGAAAAATATTATTTTATTGAAAAATGTGTGGTTGAAAAATTAGTAGAAAAATGAGAATGAAAATTTTAATATATACCAAACAGGGGCTAAACAACAGTCTTATCAATTAAGAGATCAAGCAACTATTAAACTGCTGTTTTTTTTTTTTTTTTTGCTAATTTAAATATTTTGGATGAAACTGATAACATAAGCACACATTGAGTCCTATTTTGAATCCAGAACATATCAAAACACTTAAGAAGAAGGGAAAAAAAATGACAGAGGATCCAGTAGTGCTTCTAGTATTGTGTATAGCCCAACTCATCAAATCGATAGCTTGTTGTGTTAATTATACCCATAATCTCTGATACCAATTGTTGGAAATTCAACGATAATGTATCGCTCGATACCACTTGATATGAAACCAACTATCGGATTAAGATGTTGAAATTATATGGCAAAATATGAAATATATGATCGCAAGCAAAATAATAAAAGAAGACAATAAAGTATGACAGGAGAATTATGAAATTTAATTACACCACAAATAATGAAGATGAATTAATATTACAATGATCATAAAAGTTAGTAGTCACTTTTCTCACCCTATTCTCACATCATATAATTGTATAAAATAACCTAATATTTATAGGGAACATATTGTGGACGTCCAAACATTCATGGTAGAGTTGTTGATGAAGTATGATGTCAAAAAATCAAGTCCAAAACAAAAAATGAGAGAAAAATACGAAAATCCCGGAACAAACACAGGTGGTGCTAGGGTCTGACGCTGCGACACCCCCTTTGGGCGCCCCCCGATGCCCGAGGCAAAATACCAAACAGGGGTGCCACGCCTTGGCGCAGCGCTGGGCATTCTGCCATCTTCTCTTTCTTTTTTCGGTTCCAAGTTGTTTTCTTCATCTCGAACATTTCTTCAAGTTCAATACCAATTTCCAACTCCCAATTAGCTTTCAAAATAGAACTTCAACTTAACATATGATTCCAAATTGAATTCTTCTTGACGGCACTTCAATTAGAATTCTTCAATTATTTCAATAAGGAATTCGAGTCACACCCAATTTCTAATAATCTCCACTTTGACAAGAATTCTACTGCAACGAACAAAGCTCCAAAATTTTCTCCTCCTGGAGAAGAAAATCTGTCTGCAAGGAATGAACTGACTCTTTGACAATAACAAAAACTGATTTCTCTAATCAAATAAAAAATACTTCACATCTCTCAATGAATAAAAGCACTACCCTGCAAAATTATTTCAAATTTCCAAAAAATCATAATAATTTTAAAATTCACCAAATTCGGCTGTAACACACCCCAAAACAGAATCAAACCCAAATATTTTTAAAGAAAGCTCATTGCTACATTGTACACCTTCTACTACGCTGAAAGCATGCTCAACAAAATCAACATCCATATACATTTTTCCAATTGGATCCGCCCCTAGCATTAGAATATAAAGGCACCGCGGATGATGGTGGTAAAGCGGCATTATTCATATCTCCTAAACTCCACTTATCTATATTCTTCAAATTCGACCATTTACAAGCTCCTGAAAGTATTGTACCAAACTGAATGTCCACCACGGTACTGAACCTGTTTTGATTTGACTCTTCTAGATTCTGCACGACCCTACAAAATGTATAACCGAGACCTTTTATATCCCTCCAATATAACATGGGCACCCTTACAAACCTTCAAAGTTTCATCTCCACCAAAAAACTCATAACCCTTTGAATCAAAGATGGACAATAAGATGCAATTCTTTTTAAATCCAGAACATGTCGAACCTAGCCGGTGCTCTAATTGTCACATCCAATAGTTTCAATCTAACCGTACCAATTCTAGTAACCCGACAAGGTATGTTGTTTCTCATAACCACGACATCTTTGAAAACGGTTTCATATGTAGTAAACAAATCCTTATTAGGAAAAATATAAAATACACATGTAGAATCCATAATACAATCCTCATCTGGTTTAAACTCGATGTCAGAAATAACCATGAGATCTTCCTTACTTATAATGTTCTCTGCGATATCTGCTTAACCTGAAGTCTCTGATTGCTTCCCATATCGACTTACAGTCAACCTTTCTTTATTCTACAATTTGTAGCAATCATTCTTAACGTGCCACATCTTCTTGCAGAAGTTACAAATCTAATTACTAAACTTAAACTTTGATTTACCCCTTCCAGAACCACCATGAGCAACCAAGCATTCTCCATCTCTGGTCTCAGAAATAAGATGTTTCATCTTCTCTTTAGAAAATAAAGCATCATACACCACTTTTATGGTGAAAGTATCACGACTATATAAGATCGCGTCTCTAAATNAATGAAGAAAACGAAGTAGACAACAAACACAATATGATCAAGGTCAAACCTTATTCATCTTACTTTACTTTCAAAGTTTCCTAATCAGGGACGATCTCTTTAAATACGTCAGGTGATCTTCCAATGATCCTCCTTTTGCCATTCAATTAGAGTATAAACGTTGCTTGAGATGCAACTTGCTTGTCAGACTTTTAGTTATGCATAATTACTCCAACTTCAACCATAAAGCAGCCGTTGAACCTTCCTTCAAAATGTCTTGAAGAATGATACTCGATAGATGAAGATGAAAGTGAGAAACTGTCTTCTTATCCTTCTGTAATTTCCCCTCCACGGCCAAAGTTGTGGGCGTCTTGTCAATTCCTAGCAACGCATCAGCCAAATCTTGATGTGCGAATACTGCACGCATCTTAACGTGCTATAGCAAAAACTTAGTGCTCTGATCCAAATGTAGAATGTCATACTTCATGGAAGCCATCACGAACAAAAACCTCGAACAAATCAAACCTTGCGCTCTGCGGAACCGCTGAACCTAGGCTCTGGTACCACTTATTGTGTTAATTATGCCCAAAATCTCTGATACCGATTGTTGGAAATTCAAAGATCATGTATCGCTCGATACCATTTGATATGAAACCAACTACTGGATTGAGATGTTGAAGTTATATGACAAAATATGAAATATATGATTGCAAGCAAAAGAATAAAAAAAGACAAGAAAATATGGTAAAAGAATTATGAGATTTTATTACACCATAAATAATGAAGATGAAAAAATATTACAATAATCATAAAAGTTAGTAATTACTTTTATCACTCTATTCTCACATCATATAATTGTATAAAAGAGCCTAATATTTATAGGGAATATGTAGGGGACGTCAAAACCCTCCTAATAGAGTTGTTGATGAAGTATGATGCAAAAAAATCGAGTCCAAAATGAAAAATGAGCGAAAAACTTGAAAATCTCGTAACAGACATAGGTGGCGCCACGACGCTACCTCCAGGCGCCTGGGGCAAAATATCGCCGATGCCCCATGTCCGATCATTCTGCCCTCTTCTCTCTTTTTTTTCATTCCAAGTTGTTTTCTTCTTTCCAAACTCTTTTTCAATTTCATTACCAATTTTCAACTCCCAATTGGCTTCCAAAATATAACTTCAACTTGTCATGGGACTCCAATAGTATTCCAAATTGAATTCTTCTTGACATACACTTCAATTAGAATTCTTCAATTATTTCAATAAGGAATTCGGGTCACACCCAAATTCTAACGAAAGCATTAACAATTATATGCATCAAGATTCATCATCTTTTGCATATATAAATACATTGCACTTGTACTCTGATTTACACAAACATAACGCAGAAGAAAGAACGGAAAAATACAGAATCCAGGACCTTTCTCATGATAAAAACAATGCAATGAAGGTATCTTCATTTGTACTAAAAGGATCGAGTACGAATCCAATTTATCATGATATGGAATGTCGCCTATCTTTGCTTGGTTTATTTCGACGTTTGGCGCTTTGAGGTACGATTCCGTCAGCCCAAATAAATCTGCCAATGGTTTTTGAGATGGAGCTTATGAAAGATTTTCTAGGCAAAGGAGGCTTATCAAAGGATAGACGATTGCCTGAGGGACTACCAAACGATGCTTTAGGATCATCAGATTTTGCGATTTCTTTCAATCTCATTTTCATTTTCACCAACTCAAGTTTCAGGTCCTGATTTTCTTTACGTAGAGTCGAGAGCTCATCTAGTACAGGGTGGATTTCAATGGAGAACTTATTCGGTTTACTTGGAAGAGAAGGAGAATCATTGAGGCTGCTGTCCATGACTTCCCTGAGGCGTTGTTGCTCGTAGTAAAGCACTTGAACTACTGTCTGGACCGGTAGTCGGTCATTTTGAGCTGCGTGGGCACAAGCTTCCCGAGAAAGCTTTTGACAGTCCATCACACTGCAAGCTTTCTTTCTCTCCATATCACTTAATGCCGGATGAGCCTGCAGATTACATATAAGGAGGCAAATGAAGAAGATATGCAGCATTCCACAATTCATCTTTAAAGTAATTACACAAAGCTTACTATTAGTTCGTAGTAAATTATAATCATACTGAATCTACATTATACTATAAACTTGCTTGCAATATTTGACATGTGAAGCAACTATTGGTCAAGATCATGGCTTTAAATACGTTTATCTATTCAAATTCTCCATTGATCAACCAACTGTGGAGAGTGAAAAAGGCCGTTTGCCTATAATAAGAGAGGATTTCAAGAGGTGAAGAAGATGGAAAGGGAAAATAAGAGGAAACTTTTGCTTGAACAGTTTAAGCAGAATTTTATCTTTACTACACATCAAGTGATCAAACTTCGTCAGAAAAAAGTGAAACACAAGAAGTATCAAGTCCAAAAAATATGTCTTCAGCATTAAAATCAAGTAAAATAGACTTGTATCTTAAATTCTAATGTCGGCCAAAAGTCCTATTTGATCCGTTTTCCATTGCACATTAGTGAGGGATTCAGAAATAAAGTAAGAAAATGCACAAACCTTCAAGTAGATATCAATGGACCTATACATTCCGTCTTCTGTTATTCGTGACTGTTCAGGAATTAGTTCTGCAAGACTGATGAACTTTGAGACAGATAAATTGCGGTCAGAAGCAATTTCAGCAAGATAGCTCTCCATTAACCTTGTGACACACTCCATATCACTTTGTGAAGAAGAAATATACTCTTCATCTGCATTGTATCCCGATCTATTCCCCTCCATTTCATATTCCAGGTAATTCACCATTATCCTCTGCACAGTTTCAACATCGAACAATGTATCCCCGGTGAAAGAATAAGATGGAATTAGTAAATCGTCTAACACAGCCTGTCCTAGTTGCAAGGCCATCCTCTTTTCCAAGTCAAGCCTGCAAGCAACTGTCGTTTCAAGATGTATTGCAGCTCGAAGAAGCATCGAGAGAAAGCTAATTGACATGGCATTCTTCTCTCTTGGCAGAAGACTAACTATTGTTTCCAAAACAACCCGTTTCTCGTGTTCTTCTCTTGCCTCAATTTTCTTCCTACCCTTTCCAAAAATTTCCTGAAATGAAAAGAAAAATAACAATTGAATCTAGCTCACGTGATTAATAATCCTTGTTTATGGGAGAAGAACTCACCAACCCACGAAGAGATTTTTGTGCATACAGCATTAATATTGGACCAAGAGCATTTTGTTTGAATCCCCTTGCCATCATTGCAATGAGAACCCTTTGAAAGAAATCGATTCGAAGGACAGTCAAATCTTCAGCCCACCACTCAACAACAGGCTTCGTATTGGACATGGATGATTTGGAGGATATCGAATCATTCTTGTCACTCTCCGCCCTCCCTGATGCGCTAAAATGGCTATCTCTACAGGCCACAAATGCTATCATATCTATGCATCGGCTCACCAATTTTACTTTTTCTGCTAGGGGAAGCAGGATTTCAGAAGAATGCAAAATGGTAACTGCCCCTGCAAGGCTCTTTAATGCCACTCCGTGTAGGTATTTCTCGGTTCTTTCAACTAAATTTCCAACTGCATGGTCTTCTGTCATCTCAAGATATTCAGCTACACACCTAAGCATGGCAATGTTTTCTGTACTTATCTCAAAGTTTATTCCATAACAAAATTTTGCAGCGAGTTCAAATGCCTCTGCTCCTCCGGGAATACCAGGGATATCAATAACAGCAAGATCAGTATCAGTGGATTCTGATACTAACTTCCTTATGTATCCACATTTTGAGACCAATGGGAACTGTAAATGTAAAAATATGTGCAATGGAGTTGAAATCACTTCGATTATGATTAATGAATTAAATTTTAAAACTTCAAAAATGCAGATTTATTTCTAATTCTTCACATTAATCAATTAGAATATGAAATAAGAAACATCAATAGACTCTACCTTGTGCAATGAAAAGGAAGTTCCTCCTGCTCTAACAGTTACATCACTCGGGATTTCCTGCGAAAAGATCCTGTTGAACATTGAAATAAACATCTCAAGTCCTTCATAATCTTCCCTAAATAGAATTCCGCAAAAATGGCCAAACTAATCTTTCATTAATTACCAACACAAGTAAAAATAATATTAACTAGATAGAAAAAAGAGAGCAAACCATTCACTAGTCCTCTTCATGGCAGTGGAAAGAAGATCATTTTTCTTATTGAACATGTTTGTAGCCGTGGGTTGTGCAATTTGCTCCTGATTAAGATTCACCATCTCAATTATTTCAGATACCCTGAACCCTTTTAATAATCCATCATAGCTGAAGGTACATAAATTCTTATAAGAAGTTTCCTTCTATAGCTTTGGTCATTTCTTAACTAATGATCATAAAGTTCTCTCTCTTTTATCCCTGAAATTCACTCTTTGTAACTGACTTCAACAGTTCTGGGAGTACAGTCTCAGTCTAAAATTCAGTCATAAATTCTGTTATTTATCTCCTGCCTGTACAATCCCCATAACGGGCCTCCATTTTTACTGAAGTCTAAGGTAGTAAGTACTATTGGGTAGGAGAAATAGGGGGGTACATTGAAATGTAGTGTGCGGTGGGAGACATAGATAAGATAGTGGTGCCAAACAAAGAGGTTTCCATGTGAAATTTATTTTCACCCACAAAATTGCCTGTCTTTTCCAAAGAGATTACTGTATTATTTTGGCAAAACGGGTCGGTAATAGCATAAAACACCTATTGGACTTTCACTAGAAAACCAATTCTGTAGAGTGACTGAATATGAAAAATGAACTAGTTCAAAGAGGTAATTACTTTCAAACTCACTACCCAACTGCTTATAACATAGATAATTACGTTTATATATCATCCAATACCTCTGTGTATTGAGATAGAATTTTGCGAAAATTGACATTCATGTCTAAAGTTGGCTTCCTTTGTCAACATATGAGCCCATCAAGTATGAAGTTTCACCGAGTAAAAAAATACCAGTAAACCAGTGGCTAGAGATCCCAATCTAACCCGCAAGCCACCCTGGGGACAGGGTGCGGGGGTCGGTTAGATTATCATAATACTTGAAAGAGATGCCACCTTGGCTGCCATGACCTACCATTTATAGAAGCCACCAAATACTATGACTGGTTAGATAATTTTGAAGGCCCGACTTGACAATACATAGAGTACATTTAATGCATGTTTCGAAAATTAAATTTCACTTTCGCTCTAGTACCCATCGACGGGATGTTAACATCTATTAATTTCACAACAATTTCTGTTAACCGATAATGATAGTGGATGTTCACATCGTCTTTCAGTGTCATTACTCATAGGTCCAGTGAAATCTTCATCCTGATCGAATTTTGAGTTTATTGCTGTCAGTTCTCTAAAGTCAAGTAAAATGGCGTTATATTATGATAAACATTGGAGGGAAAACGAACAAAAGGATAGCTCATAGCTGTCCATCTGTCCTAATTGATTCTAGCAGCATGTGGACAGGCTGAATTAGACAATATTTGCCGAAGCCAAGTCTAATGCTACACATTAAACATACTTTAGTTTTATTTTCTTCCTCTTGTCTAGTCTACATTACCAAACATACCAAAATATTTGACAAAAAGATAGATGAACACGAAGATAGAAAATAGAAATTGCATAATATGTGGTTTGTATCAATGAAGTCACCACTGTTTGGTAACAAGCAGTTTCTTTTCCTCTTTCAGTATAGTCCAAGATGCAAACGATGTTCCCCACAAATTAGCATCATTGCATGCGCACCAACATACAGGTCAAGTCCACACTAGGTTGAGTCGACCCTTCATTACACAAATTAAGGGTTTTTCCCCTTCTAACTAAAAAGCTAAACCAAAACAATGCAATATCATGAATATAAGACATTAAAACCTACATGCCTGAAACTTTTACAAATTTACTCAAATTTCAACTGATTTTTCCAAATTTCAATGGAGAACTCCAATTCACACTACAAAACACAAGGCAAGAGTAATTTGTGCAAGAGCGTCCAGGCCAGCCACTGCTGCTTGATCACCTCACTAAGTGCAGGAATTTCCCACACAGAATTCTCAATAGCAACATCACAGATATTACCTTGACGAGATCTAGACAGATAAAAAGCAAAGAAAGCAATCGTAAAAAGATCGTTTAAAGCATAGAACTGAAAGGACAAGTACCAAGCATAATAGCAAATATAAAGATCAAACTCCAAGAGAAGAAGTACCCAGTTTGCATTATAGTGCTATGAGGAAAACCCAAGAAAATTTCCTAAACAGATGAGTAAATCTTGCTTGTGTGCTACATTACTATATTTTAATCATTTTTATCATTTCCATTCTACTGTCCTTATTGGAGCAAGGACAGAATATGGATTGTACGGAAATCGAACTTCAATATGAAACACCTTGCAGATAATAACCACTCATAATAAGATTTCTAGACCCGTGAATATAGCAATAATTTAGTGTATACAATTAAAGATTCCTGGTGAATTCGAACTGATGAGACATAAAGCCCTAAACAAATTAGTCAGTTCTTACATCCAACATATGTAGAAATTTGAGATTATGTTATGTAAGGGTAGTCAGAAGTTCATCATCATAGGGTTCCAAATAATTCCATCCCAACTTCCAACCATAAGGAAGGTCAATCTCAGTAAGTTACCACATTGAGCTACCACACAAGAAGCCACGAAAGTTCATTAAACTTCCACATGTAGAGCATGTGTTGCAAGTATTCAGCACAGAATAAGTGAATAGGGTTTTATGTAATTGAATTGTCCTATTTGTGGTTATTCACCATTCAACTCGTCATTGGTGTAAACTCCCATCTGAACATGAAGATAATCAGGTTAGTGAAGGCTGTCAAGACCATTACAATAACATAAGCAAAGTAAAAAATATCGTGTTGCAGCTTGTGAAGGATTTTATTTAACGTGCATGCGTCAGCAAATTGTAACATATTTGATTGGCATCATGATTAAAAGTGGACCAAAAAAGAACCACTTGATAAGAAAGTCATCAACTTCAGCTCAAGTGGCAAGTTCAATAATGCAAAGAGAAATCAGATTATCAATTATAAGCTCTTTTGGTGGCCCAGAACTTTTTTCCTTTAGCTAATGGGACCTTAAAAAGAAATTGTCATATCACAATTAATTCTTCATTTGTACGAACTGTAACACTTCAACATGGAGTTATATCATTGAACCATACAATAATTGAGGCCTGTGCAGATAAATGAATCTAATAGAAGTGAATAAGGACGGCATTTTAGCTTATTTTTTAGTCAGTCAGACTTGTTGCTTCAATAATTCCAATCTAGCATTTCGTACCCCAAGCACTACAAGAAATAAACGTAAAACAAATTACTGTGATAACTGTGAACCTAGGGACAACACACACCCTTTTCTTACCAAAGCAGACTGCAGCCAGAGACGTGAATTATGAAACACTTGCCCACTATAAGGTCTAAAAAACATAATATTAAGCAGAATATTAACTTATACTTTAAATACAGCACAAGTTTTCGTTCGTGTCATCTTATATAAGATGACAACAAATTTCTGTTCCATGAGGTATAAAGGTCAAAAAGGTAGACAGACAATGAAATAAAAATAATGATGGCTAGTTGAAGAACTAATTTCTCCAGTTTTTTGTGTGGTGGATCACCAAACAAACGACAGAAGGGTCAGTCCATTTCACTATTCCAAGTTTACATCATAAACACGTGGATGGTTTAAAGATAAATTCCTTTTTCCCTAATCTTCTATTGCAACAAATGAACGTAAGAAGAATTATAGAAAAGTTGTGAGCTTTTTAGCTCTCACCTTTAGATAGAAAGGAATAGTAAGGTTCCAAAATCTCCCTTCTCACTTCCTTTTCTGTCCCAAACAGGAACCTTGAAAAACAATAAAACTGCATTATTCATTCCTCTTCTCTCTTCCAAACCATTCTTTATCCTCTCACTATTCACATGACCAGGGCACTTAACCAGTTAACCAAGAGGAGACCTTATAACGTATAAATTATTCCTTCAGATATATGAATCAAGGAGTTTTCGTTATGACAGATCAACTGATAACCAAGCTTAAATTTACTAATCCTCTTGCCAAATGATTCAATACCTTGTCGAGGTACCACCAACAGAAAGAGGAGCAATTCAGATGTAAGGGAAAGAGAAATATACACAAATTTAGGACACAAGGAGCCGACCCTAATATTTTCCACATCGAAACAAGGAATCCAAATATAACTATTTCCCTGGTAGAATCCATTTTCTTAGTGCAAAATTGAAGTCCCTTAACAACAAAATTTTAAGTTCTATTCCTTGAAAATAATAATTCCATATTTTACAAGAATTTTCACCAACAATAAGCAGTGAAAGGAAGTACTTATTCAAGTTTACATGACAATGCAACATTATAATCCTTCCATCAAAAACTCAGAACAGAAGAGTTCATATAAATGGTATAAATAGAAGAAAACATGTATATACAATTTCCATAGGGGGGTTATAAATGAATCGACTGTAATTACGGCTTTACTGAAGTGAAAAAAGAATAAAAGGATTTATTGGAACACCAGAATTCCGCGAGGAGACATTTTCACAAACGGAAATCGAAGTCAGGTGATAGGCAAATGACCTGCAGTCAGGAGTGTTAAGTGCGGCTCGCCAGCTCCTCTCGTCCCACAAGCGTGCCAAGCAGAAAATTTCTCGTACCAGCCGTTCGTACGAGTTGGCTCGCGAGCACATTGGCTTGTGTGCCAGCCGAGCTACACTTTGGTTGAGCGAACCAACTCACTGGCGAATCGAACGATTCGACTCGTCCCATTTGACATCCTTACATTCAGATATGCACTTTTCAATCTACAGGAATGGAGCCGGGAAATCTCTAGGCTCCATCCTCCGCCGACTGGTGGTGGGGGCGGTTCATTGGTTGGGAAAAATTGAGTTGAAGTAACTCATTTCAAAATTAAAATAAAAGATTTAAATCCTCAAAAATAAAATATTTATTAAATTTTATTTATGAAATAATTAATTAAAAATATATTTTATAAATTAAATATAAGCACAATTATATAATTAAATTTAACGAATCATCATTGAACTATAAAATTTTTACTATTTCATCACTCATCTTTAATGGGTTACCAAATAATCACTCATTTTTACATATAATTATCCATTCATCATTCATTTAACTCTCATCTCTTCAAATAAACGGAAAATTACACGTGGATAACGGTAATCAAACATGGCAAACTCTCTCTATTAAATCTTGACGACCTAGAATTAAACCCACGACATATATTCTTCAAATCACGCATCATCCTATTTTCACGACATTTCTTCAATGGAAAGAAAAATTAAGAAAAACTCCTATCAATTTTTCAAAATTCTCCCTCAAATCAACTTATTAGACTTGAGAATTCTTCTCTTGTCTAGATAACGGAGGGCATAGGTGACTCACAAGGCCCTCGTATGAACAATAATTGGATAGAAGATGCATTGTTGGAAGTTGAACAAGAAAGACAAGGAGAAGGTAATTTTTTATATTATTTTGTTCAACATGCTTTGTTTCCTTATGGACATGAAGTGAAAATAAATAAATAAATAAATTGATGTTTATCTAAATGATTCTAAATTGAATGTTTTGAAATAGGCAATATTTTAATAGGAGTCACTAAAACCCTAGCCATACTTTTGTTGCAATACCTTAACCCCAGTCTTTTAGATGTAACAAACATTAATCCTAGTCTTTTTACATTCCAGTGACGAACAATGAAGGGGAAGATTTGGTGCCACTTGAGTGCCAGTTAAATGACTTGGAGGATGATGTGGACGATTGTGGCTTTCGTTATCAGAGAAATGCACCAGGAAGAGTTGTGGTTGGTCTGAATGCGGTCCTTAAATTTCAAACAACTAGTGAAGATGATAGCTCGGAATTAGAAGATCCATATTATGCATATTCTGAAGAGGAGTTGCATACTGATCATTCTTCAGGTGAGGATTTTCCACTTATGATGTTGAAATGGAGAAGTTTAATCCACAACTAGAGGTTGGAAAAGAGTTCGAGGATATAGAAGAATTTAAGAAGGCAGTTAGACATCATGGCGTTATCACTAGGTGTAATTTGAAATTTAAGGTGAATGATGATAAGAGAGCACAAGGAGTGTGCAAAAAAAAAAAAGGATTGCAAGTGGAAGATTTGGGCTTCATAGAATAAGAAAAATGGCTGCATTCAAATTAAGACATTTATTTCACAGCACACATGCATACGAGACAGAACAAATAGGCATTGTGCGTCTAAGTATATTGCTGAGAAGTATTTAGAGACTTTCAAGGTTGCCCCTGATTGGAAGCTGAACTCATTATTAAGGCTATGAAAGATGACTTGAAATTACTAATCAATAGAGTTACTGCATGGCGGGCTAGAAGACAAGCGGGGATATTGATCGAGGGATCTAATGAACACTAATTTAGCTTGCTTTGGTATTTTGCTCCTGAAATTTTGAGAAGCAATCCATGATCTACATGTATAGTTACCACACATGAATCTAAGTTTCAAGGGATTTATATATGTTTAGAAGCTTGCAAGAGAGGTTTTATGNAGGGATTTATATATGTTTTGAAGCTTGCAAGATAGGTTTTATGGTGGTTGTAGGCAACTTTTAGGTCTAGATGTGTTTTTTTTGTAAGGAAATTTTGTTGGACAAATACTTGTTGCAGTGGCACTAGATGCAATAATTGTATTTACCCAATAGCATACGCAATAGTGGATACTGAGAATGCTAGAAGTTGGAGATGGTTTGTTAGTCATTTGGGTGAAGATTTAAGGATTGTGAATAGTAATTAATGGACTTTTATGTTTGATAGGCAGAAGGGATTACAAAAGGATATTGAGGATTTGTACCCTAATGCTGAACATAAGTTTTGTGTGAGGCATATGTATACAAATTTCTTCAGGGTTGATTTTAAGAGTTTGGCACTTAAAGGCTACTTATGGAAAGCAGCAAAGTCAACTGCTGTACCTGATTGGAAGTTTTGGATGGATCAACTTGCAAATAAAAGTACAGGTACATATGAGTGGTTAATGAGAAAGGATCCACATGAATGGAGTAAGTCTAATTTCTCAACTAAGGTAAAGAGCGATATAGTGCTTAACAATTTATATAAAGTTTTCAACAATGTAGTGTTAGAATATGGGGAGAAATCAATGTCGACTATGTTAATTGACTTGCATATTAGCTGCATGAAGAGAATTCAATCAAGGAGGGATAAAATGAGAAGAGCCAGAAGACCATTGTGTCCCCAACAAAAATTAGCTAAATATATGGAAATAGCTAAAGAGCGTGAAGTGGAATGGTATGGGGGCCGCAATTTTATGTGAAACGTCCTACTGGGGAATATGTGGTTGATTTATCAAGCAAGACATGCACATATAGGAGATGGAATTTGACGGGGATTTCATGTGGGCATGGGATTGCTGTTATACTAGATAGAGGGGATAATCCTACAAAGTGTGTGCATGAGTGCTATACAGTGCAAACCTATTTACAGTGCTATGGAAACATTGTCAATCCAATTAAATGTAAGAAATTGTGTCCGAAAGTGAATACTCTCCCTTTACTTGCACCGAGTTAGGTAGTAGCGAAGAGGGAAAGGAAGCAGAAAAAGCGAAGAAGGCAGTAAGAGGAAGATGTAATCACTCGTTCCGGCTCCACCTCAAGAATGAAGAAAAAAGGTACTGTAAAAATGACTTGCGGTGTATGTGGTTTAACTGGCCATAACAAGTGTTACCATGATAAGGCAGATGCACCAATTGAGGTTTCTTGTTGAAATTAAGTTTTTAACTATGTTTCGTGAATTCATGATTGGGATGGAAATGATCTCAATCATATAAATGAAGATAGATCTAGCCAAGTCGAAAGTCAAATTTCAAGGGTAATTTTTCTAGTTTTGTGTGAGGCTGATTTCCATTGATTTCGTATTTACGAGTCTTAACCATTTTTTCTAACATAGGCAAAGCTAGTACCTCGAAGAGCAAACGAGAATTCAACAAGTGAATTACAACAAAATCTTACAATAGATGGATACATTTTCATGCCCACACCTGGACTCAGGGTAATAAGTGATGCACAACCTAACAACAATGGTCTTTTCCCTACTGCAGTAAGGCAAATTGAAAATATTCCACTATCCAACATGACTGCGATTTTTTGGTCTTAGAAGCCCAAGAAAATGCAAGAAAGAGGGCTGATAGGGTAAAGCACATAAGAGTGGCCAGAGGTTCAGTTCTTTTCGCACATCCAAGGGCAAGGAAGAGTGGAGCAACTCGGTAGAATTTATTTTTGATTGGCAACCTATGTTCTAAATGGACGTGGTTTAGGGTTGTCATGGAAGTTCTAGACGGTGAACTATTTTCTAAATTTTTTTTGTTGTAGTTTATGCATTAGAGTGGTCAGAGAATGTTTTTGAACTATAGTTTAGCCATCATGGATGAATGTTTTCTGAATGAATGGTGTTATTCTAGTACTAGTGCATTAGTACGTCAAGTTGGTGCATCAGATTGAATGAATATTTTAAGAATGAATGTTTTTTGGATGAATGTTTTTTGGATGAATGGTTATTCGGAGTACATACATTATATCATACATAGGCTTCTTCTCCAACACTTGATTCATGATCAAGATGCCAACAAAAATTACCTTTTAGTATGAAAATATACTCCAGGCAACCAAACACCTTACGTTTTCTTGCAGATTATCTAAAATGTAAAGGTTTCCTTCAGGATAAATGGACATTTTTTTCTCAATTCTTATGTTGAAAATCAAACAATGGCAATTATGATTTGCATTTACTAGATTATTACGGATCACACCATGACTATGTTCAAGCCATCTTTCCTAGTAATACCCAAAAAACAGATGTCAGATGTGCTTACAAGGAGTGGCATGAGATCAGAATAGAAAAGGGATACGTCATCTTGCTCTTGACTAGTTTTTATAGGTACTTTTTTCTCTTCTCTCTCTTTTGCCACACACTCCTAGAAAACAAGAAGAGGCGCATAATCAAGTAGATATAAGATGTCAAAAGAACTGAATGCAAATTATACCCTTGTTTGACATCCATTTTCTTTCTCATTTTCTTTCTCTTTCTTCTTTTCAACCACACAATCTATCAATAAAATAATATTATACATAAATCCAAAAATTCTCCTTACGTTTTAACCACACATTCTTCCATCAATCACTATTACAAATCAAATTCTTCTCCAAAATGGTGTCAAACAAGGGCTATATAGTTTTCTCAAAACATTTAATTCGTCAATGAAGAAGCATGACCAAGGGAACTTCTGCACCAAAGTTGACAGAGCCACAGATGGACTAGTCTAGTAAATTTTTTAAAACTCAGTTTTTCGCCCAACTTCTGCACCAAAGCTGATAGAGCCACAAAGTTAAGCCCATGTTTCGCCCAATTTCTTAAAATTCATTTTTTCTTACATGTTAATTGACAAGAACACGTTAATATCATACAAGCTGAGCTTCCATCGCCTTCTCTTACAGCTCAGTAATTGATACGGGAACATCAGGCTTGAATTATGTGCTTGCAGTAGAAATAGATCAGTTTGTCCTTGTTTTTAATCTATGATTCCATGCAGGATGATGAGTTTCTTACTTCATTACAAGATGATAGAGAGAAGGAATTGAAGGCACATGAAGTGGCTAAAGCTGCTCTTGCACAGAAGAGAAGTACAGGAGGAGGAATTGCAAAGAAACTCTCCGTGCTAAACGGAGAAACTCTCCATGCAATAGCAGCAGCCAATTTTTTTTTTCTTTTTTCCTTTTTTCATTCATTTTTATTTATATTATGATATACTAAGGCCCTGTTTGATAGGGCTTATTTTCCATGGAAAATGGAAAATAAATTCCTTTTCCCACTTTTAAAGGTGTTTGATAGTTCTATTTTTCCAGGTAAAACATTTTCCCAAAATTCCCTCACGCGCCTGATTTTCCCCCAAAATCGTGAAAACACTTTCCTCAACATCTACTGGATTTATATTTTCCACCCAAGGTGGAAATCACATTTGTGCCCGGTGGTGGAGGCAGAGAGCAATCTGGAAGGCGTTTGGGTCTTCCACCACGGTGAGGGCGAGGGCGAGGGCGAGGTGAATAATGCCCAGGTATGGGTGGCGAAGGGGGGATGGTGGAGACCCAGAGTTCGACGCTTTGATGGTGAGACCCAGAATGGGACGAAGGGACGGTGGGCGAAGAGACTGTTGGGGAGTTGGTCGGAGGTGGGATTGATGGTGGAGGAATTTGTGGAACTGAATTAATGCGGGAGGAATTAGGGACGGTTGGGAAGTTGGTCGAAGGTTCAATTGATGGTGGCGGAATTGGTGGAGAAACTGGATTGCTGCGTGAGGAATTGGGACAGTGGGGGAGTTGGACGGTGGTGGGATTGATGGTGGAGGAATTGGTGGAGCACCTGGATTGATGCGGCAGGAATTGGGACGGTGGGGGAGTTGGGCGGTGGTGGGATAAAGCTGGTGGTGGAGAGTTGGGCTTCCAGTGCAGGTGGTGGAGAAGTGGTGAATTGCAGGATGAAGCTGGTGGTGGAGAAGTGGTGAAGTGCAGGTGGTGGAGAAGTGCTGGACCTGCTGGTGGTGGAGTAGGAGGAGGCTGGGAGGTAAAGGCGGCGTTCGTGCGGGAGGATGACGGATGTTGTCGAAAAATTTTTGTCAAGTTTGATAGCTTCTCACAAATTATCATAATTTTCCATGAAAAATAAAGTCGATCAAACACCAAAAGTTTGAAAATCTCAGCATTTTCTAGGTGGAAATTATACCAATCAAACTCAACTAATTAACAATTCCCTGCAAAATATTTTCTTGGCAATTATTTTCCCTAGAATTCATTTTCTTTCCATCCATTTTCCACCCTTGCAATCAAACGCACCCTAATAAGTTGACAAGATGTTAGTTCCTCAAGATGATGATGAAAACTTCAATTTTTGTGGCTTCATAAAGGCGTGAATAGGGGTTTTGGTTTAGGGATTTTGATATGGATTAATAATATGAAGGCGTGTTTGTTTGGTTCTTTTTGGTGACTTAAACATAATTAATGCCATCAATATGCCACGTAAAATTCCTGTTATCCACGTGTAATTTTCCGTTTATGTGGAGAGACGAGTGTTAAAAGAGTGGCGGGTGGGTAACCATATGAAAAGATGAGTGAGTGTTGAATAACTCTTTAAAATTTAGTAAGCAGTAACAATTTTAAAGTTAAGTGATGATTAATTAAATTTACTCTTATATAATTTGATCATAAATTATCGAATTAATTGATTACAAATAATTTATCGATCACAATTACAAATTTTATTGATCATAAATTATTTCACATTCACAAATTTATCAAATTAATATGTCATATGTTATTCCTTCATTTTTTTTGGGTGTTTTTTTGGGTGTTTTCTTCCGATCTACTTTGTTGGAGTGTTGGGTGGTGGTGGTGGTGGTGGAAGTTTGTGGTTTGTGTTGATTGTCGGCGAGAATGATTGTTGCAATGGTTTTAAGATGATTTTTGGGGGTGGTTTTTCTTGCCATTTTCTTTGATGTGCTTTGTCGGAGTGTATGGGTGGTTGTTGGTGGAAGCGGTGGTGGTGCTAACATGATAATGTGGTGGTGATGGTGGTACCAGTGGAGCAGTGGTGGTGGTAGTGGTGTGGCTTTGTTGTTGTAGTTGTGGGTGTAGGTGTAGGTGTAGGTGTTGGGTGAGATGAAGAGTATTTGTGACTAATAAACAATATGTGATCAATGAAATATATATTTGTTAATTTGTGACCTAAACATAATTTATTAATTTATGACCTAAACATAATTTGTGGCTAATTAATTTGATATTTTGTGATCATGAAATAAGTTGTGACATAAAGTTTATGATTTGTGATCAAGGAATAATATGTAACATATTAGTTTGATAAATTTGTAACTGTGAAATAATTTGTGACCTTATATTTAATTTATAAAATATTTTTTAATTAATTATTTCATAAATAAAATTTAATAAATATATGATGTTTTAAGTTTTAAACATTTTATCTTAGTTTTGAAATGAGTTATAGTTACTTTTAATTATGAATTTTTCCCTTATATATTGAAATCCCATATTTACTATTTTACTAGAAAAAACACATAAACTATTACATCAATATAAAATAAAAACCAAAATTACTACACGCAGACCTTTCCATATATCGATTCGTAACTGATATTGATTACCCATTCCATTGACGGCTGCATTTAATTGGGATGGGTTGAACTCGTGCCAATTCAAATGGATGAATTAAACATAACATATTACAAAAGCAGGTGAGATTTCGCAATTCATCTTCTATTCTTTGTAAATCCCACCAATTGTAATTTCATCCCGAGGAAAATCTACATTGTCGTGCTGTGAATATACCTTTCCGATCAGTAAATATCTCTGCATAATCTATAATTATTTAGTATATGTGATTTGTGCAAAACATGATAATCGATCATTTATGTTTCTTGAATGTGTTTTCTTTGTCAAGAATAATATTAAGCTGTTTTTGGATTAGTTTTGTGTGTGATTCTTCTGTTTGGCGATATTAAGAGATGAATTTGGTGTTCATTGAGATTTCAAATGCAATTTACTTTATGTATATCAATTTTAACGAAGTGGTTTTTCAAGTCTAGTTATTACAATATCTGGACAATTCAAACATTTTCAACTTCCTACATCTGATGTGTTCTCGTCATATTCTATGTCATCATACATTGTGTGAGTAGATACTTCGTTCATTTCTTATAATTATCACAATGTGTTCTTCAGAATAAATCAATTTAATATTACTAGTCGTGAGAATACATTATTCCTTACCAATGTCGTCTCATGTTCATATCAATATATCGTAAGTCTTTGAAGAAATACTAATATTCAAATTGCACTTCTTTGACTATATCAACGCTACTTCCTTTGATTAAATATGATGTGTGCCTTCGTAACATGAATTTTAACACCATCTATAAGACAAATAATTAAAATGTAGAGACATGTTTTTTTTCTAGGTTTATTAGAATAAATCAACTTTCCATATCAAAATATTTACTATCCAAGTAAGGATTACATGCGTTTGTAAGCATTGAATCTTTTAGTAGGAAGTTATTAACAATTAATTGATCGCTGCATGCGCATCCTTTAATCTAAAGTCGTTACAGGTTGTGAAAAATTCACACAATAAATTAGGTAAGAGAAAAAAAAAAAGTCAATGATTCATATAATAAAAATTAGTGAAAGAAAGCATTATGATTTTTTTAGTCGCTAATATCTAAAAGTCGGTCAATTCAAGAACATCTTGCAGCCCGCTATCTTCTGCTCAGTCCAGCAACCAAGGTTCCCACGATTGGTGAGTTTGCTACTAGCATTCCCTTGACTAATTTGCCTAATGAAGAAGAAGATATGTACTCAAAATATTTTACTTGATCTAATACCACAGCAAAGAATTTCATTAATTGATTGGAAGAGAGGGTAAGATTCATAGGTTATATAATTAATTGGTGGAATGACAGGTTGGAGTTGGGATGCGATTCGTATGTTTCGTGTATTGTATTGAAGATTTCTTGTTTTTTGATTTAGGAACTTCCTACTTATATTGTAGAAAGGTAAAAACAGGGGATTTGGGGCTTGAATTGGGGGTGATTAATGAGGGCATATTTGTTGGAATTATTTATGCTTTTCTTATATTAATATGGAAATGAATATATTTTACAATTTTCATTTATAACAAATATTGTAGTATATTTGGCGAAAAAAAAA